CTCAAGGTGCTGGACCACCAGCACGAACAGGGGCGAATATTGCGTCAGTGGACGGATACTTACCATGGACGATCACCGCCGGCATTCCAGAGCAATGATCCGTTGAGAATCAGCCTCCATGAACGTCGTGTTAGACGCTTACAAGACATCACTTAGAGTACTGTAGACTAGTACATGTACCTTATATTATCGTGGATAGCTTCCAACAGCTGGGATGGGCATGCCATGCCCGGCGCGACTGGCGCAAGACATTCTGGTCGTTCTATACGCTTTTCAAGTGGCGAAATTGCACCTGAGTCAGGGTGAATTGCTGTGGTACAATTGAAGGACACTGCGTGCTTATCTGTTTAACGGGTTTTGGCTCATAACTTGTGAGTCACAACATAATCTATTGAGAGCCAAATACTGATCCTACATGTAGTTGAATGAAAGTGATCCTGGTTATCAGGTTTTGGTAGTCGAGTACTGCTCGACGAAGAGTCCGTGCCCATTCGCTACTGTACGATGTACAGTATCGCTATCCTAGTGTCAAGAACCCGAATGGTAGACAGAATTCACGCTGAGATCAAGCCGGATCCAGACCGGGATTGCGGTCACGGCCGTTTAACAGCATCGTCATCGTCAAGAGTCGAGATTTCTTCGCACGGAGTCACACTGGTGACATGCTGGTGTCCTACGTGTGAAAAATCGACCAACTGCCTGAGCTATCCCAACGTGTGGCTTTGAGGTGCAAAGGGTGGTACGGCATGTGGTATCACCAGGGATATGCTAATCACAGCATATATGCACTAATCAAATTAAAATTCTGATGTTAGCCAAATTTATGCATTGAGACCTGTGCCAGGCCAATTCTCAACGGATCATTGCTCTGGAATGCCGGCGGTGATCGTCCATGGTAAGTATCCGTCCACTGACGCAATATTCGCCCCTGTTCGTGCTGGTGGTCCAGCACCTTGAGCATTGCGCACCTTCAGCTAGGACAGCTACTCCATTCTTTCCCATTTCCAGTTTTGTGATCTTCCGCACACATCCACCCCAACAGAGAACGGCTAAAAGGCTGGCTACAGCTCCCCCAACTTTTATTCACGCTCACAACATGGCCCGAATCTTCACCTCTCTTCTCGTCGTCACTGCTGCGATCGCCGGGTTAATGCTACCCGATAGCGTGGACGCTCACGGCGGACAGTCCGTACATGCTCGCACGCCCGAGCGTCTGGCACAGCGTCGTCTCTTCATGTCCGAAAGCAAACGATCGCTCAAGGACTGTGCCAACTCCGAGGCTTCGCGCAGACTGCAAGAACGCGCCGTCGCCCGTCGTGCGGCCAAGGCCGACAGCCTCCGCGCCGAACGCCGCCAGCGCCGTCGCCTCGATCTCGACACCGTGCTGGCCACCAACCACAAGTCCAACCTCACCGGCCTCACCAACGAGACGAACCCCAGCGAGCTCTTCGGAGACGACGTCAAGTGTATCCTCGAGCCTGAGGTCACGCAGGGCCCGTACTACGTCAACGGCGAGTTGATCCGCTCCGACATCCGTGAGGACCAGGAGGGCGTCGACCTGTACGCGGAAGTCCAGATCATCGACGTCAACACGTGCGAACCCGTGCAGGGTCTGTACCTCGACTTCTGGCACTGCAACACCACGGGTGTGTACTCAGGCATCGTGGCCAGCGGTAACGGCGACAGTTCCGATACCACCAACGTTGACAAAACGTTCCTACGTGGACTCACTCCCACTGACGAGGACGGTGTGGCGTCCTACACGTCCATCTTCCCGGGTCACTACACGTCCCGCGCCACGCACATCCACATCCTCGGCACGTACAACGGCACTCTGCTCGAGAACAACACGTACTCGGGTGGCTACGCGTCGCACGTGGGCCAGCTCTTCTTCGACCAGGACCTCATCAGTGAGGTGGAACTCACGGCACC